TGTTTTTTTTGAAAAAAACATTTAGCAGATGAAAACTGGGATCCTATCTCAATACCACTGAAGCTATCGCCTTACTGTTTTTAAATTATTAAACAGAATTTTTTTAAAGAAAAAAGGAAATGGATCCAAAGGATCTATCAGCAATCATATCTGTTCCAGCGCATCATCATTAGAATTTCTTTGAGTAATGTCTTCAGTACAGGGGCCATAACAGGGGTCAGGTCATGATCTACAGGGGCTCTGGCCCCCATTGGCCCCTGTCTAGAACCGCTGATGGTTGGATGCGTAAATATAACAGCTCCAGGTATTGGATAATTATTTTATTTGTGTAAAAAGGTTTCATATCATTAGCCTAATGTTATATCAATACATTTCAATTTAAAATTCGCTTATAAGTTCAATCAAGAGAATCAAATCATACATTAAAATGTTAAATATTTTACTTACATAGAAATATTAAATTTACTTCACAGGACTTTTCTCTTTAATTATGAGATAATAAACTTTAATGATTTAAGCAAATCAGTTTTCCCAAATCATTTCAGTTCAACTTTCCAAGTTTTAAAGTGAGGAAAATTCTAAACCAGCGAATCTATAGTCAAAACACGTTTATCCCTTTAGTTTTGTACAAAAAATAAACTTTAAACTACCTCAGTGGCATCTATCTATGGAAGCCCCTTTCCGCCACGCTGTAAAAAAAAAATAATAATAATAATAATTCCATTATAATGAGATAGTAACTCAATATAAGGAGAAAGTCATCACTTTGACACACATTTGCTGTTTCATAGCATCAGTAAACTTCTTTAACTTAAAATAAAAAAAGACAATATATACACATGAACACTATGACTATGCAATGTGATGGGTCTTTTTTATTTTTATTTTAAGTTAAAAGTAGTTTACTGATGCTATGAAACAGCAAATGTGTGTCAAAGTGATGAATTTATTTTATTTTAAAAGTCTTAAATCCCCCTGAAAATGAGATCATTGTTCAATGCTGTGGCGCACTTATTGTTTACATTGCGACCGGCAGAGATGGCAAAAGTACTCACTTTCCGTACTTGAGTAAAAGTACAGATACTTGTGTTAAAAAATACTCTAGTAAAAGTGGAAGTACTGATTAAACTTCTTTACTCAAGTAAAAGTAACAAAGTACAGGCTTGTAAATTTACTTAAAGTCTAAAAGTAAAAGTAGAAACCACTTTTTTCATGCCGTTGCCTACATTTTAAATGGATGTCTGCCAATAGGACTAGATCTCCGTTGTGTTCATTTTCAATCGTCCATGCTACTATGCTAACGCCACCGCCACCAAGCTGCAATGATTTGCCGCCAATGAATACCGCCGAATCTGTCGATTCATCTTGTAGTGGTGCGTCAAATGCAACGTAGATTCCCATCCAATTAGATTGAATTTGGTATTGATGACGTGAAAAATAATAACGGTAACTCCATTGAAATGATTCAAAACTAAAGTAACATTCCAATTTTTTAAAATGTAAGGAGTAGAAAGTACAGATATTTGTGTAAAAATGTAAGGAGTAGAAGTAAAAAGTCGCCATAAAAATAAGTAGTAAAGTAAAAATATCAGCAAAATCCACATGAGTACAGTAACGAAGTATTTGTACTTCGTTACGAAGTATTTGTACTTCGTTACGAAGTATTTGTACTTCGTTACTTCCCATCTCTGGCGACTGGTCTAACTAGGGAGTACCAATATGGCGGCCGGTGGCTTCACTTCGACCCCGTACTGCCAACAGGCAATCAGCAATCCAGGGAATAAATCCACTGCAAAAAAATACAATCTATATAAGTCATTTCTTCTTAAATTAAGTGCATTTTTTCTTGAATTAAGGATTTAAGTGAGACACTTTGCCAACAAAACAAGACAATTTACACTTAAAATAAGAAAAAGAATCGCATTGTCTTATTTCAAGTGCATTTTATCTACAGGTGCTGGTCATAAAATTAGAATATCATGAAAAAGTAGATTGATTTCAGTAATTCCATTTAAAAAGTGAAACTTGTATATTATATTCATACATTACATACAAACTCATATATTTCAGGTGTTTATTTTGTTTAATTTTGATGATTACAAATGACAACAAATGAAAATCTCAAATTCATCATATCAGAAAATTAGAATATTACTGAAGACCAATAAAAACAAAGGATTTATAGAAATGTTGGCCAACTGAAAAGTATGAGCATGTACAGCACTCAGTATTTAGTTGGGCCTCCTTTGGCCTGTATTACTGCAGCAATGCGGCGTGGCATGGAGTCGATCAGTCTGTGGCACTGCTCAGGTGTTATGATAGCCCAGGTTGCTCTAATAGTGGCTTTTAGCTCTTCTGAATTGTTGGGTCTGGTGTATTGCATCTTCTTCTTCACAATACCCCATAGATTTTCTATGGGGTTAAGGTCAGGAGAGTTTGCTGGCCAATTAAGAACAGGGATACCATGGTCCTTCAACCAGGTACTGGTAGCTTTGGCACTGTGTGCAGGTGCCAAGTCCTGTTGGAAAATGAAATCTGCATCTCCAAAAAGTTGGTCAGCTGCAGGAAGCATGAAGTGCTCTAAAACTTCCTGGTATGTGGCTGCGTTGACCCTGGACCTCAGAAAACACAATGGACCAACACCAGCAGATGACATGGCACCCCAAACCATCACTGACTGTGGAAACTTTACACTGGACTTCAAGCAACGTGGATGAAGTGCCTCTCTTCTTTTCCTCCAGACTCTGGGACCTTGATTTCCAAAGGAAATGCAAAATTTACTTTCATCAGAGAACATGACTTTGGACCACTCACAAGCAGTCCAGTCCTGTTTCTCTTTAGACGCTTCTGACGCTGTCTGTGGTTCAAGAGTGGCTTGACACAAGGAATGCGACAGCAGAAACCCATGTCTTTCATACGTCTGTGTGTGGTGGTTCTTGAAGCACTCACTCCAGCTGCAGTCCACTCTTTGTGAATCTCCCCCACATTTTTGAAGGGGTTTTGTTTCACAATCCTCTCCAGGGTGCGGTTATCTCTCTTGCTTGTACACTTTTTTCGACCACATCTTTTCCTTCCCTTCGCCTCTCTATTAATGTGCTTGGACACTGAGCTCTGTGAACAGCCAGCCTCTTTAGCGATGACCTTTTGTGTCTTGCCCTCCTTGTGCAAGGTGTCGATGGTCGTCTTTTGGACAACTGTCAAGTCAGCAGTCTTCCCCATGATTGTGTAGCCTGTAGAACTAGACTGAAAGACCATTTAATGGCTTTTGCAGGTGGTTTGAGTTAATTAGCTGATTAGAGTGTGGCACCAGGGGCCATCAATTTTGAACCTTTTCACAATATTCTAATTTTCTGATATGATGAATTTGAGATTTTCATTTGTTGTCATTTGTAATCATCAAAATTAAACAAAATAAACATCTGAAATATATGAGTTTGTATGTAATGTATGAATATAATATACAAGTTTCACTTTTTAAATGGAATTACTGAAATCAATCTACTTTTTCATGATATTCTAATTTTATGACCAGCACCTGTAGATACCTTATTTTAAGAGTAAAAATACTCATTCCATTGGCAAATCATCTTATTTACCTGCTCAAAATAAGGGTAAATACCCTTAATTTAAGACATTTTTACTCATTTTGAGATTTTGCAGTGTCGAGATGAATAGACGGGAGTTGGAGCTCGTCCTCAGTGGCGGTTCCAGAAAATGTTCAGGGAGGGGGCCAGGCGGGGAACCAATGGAGCTGAAAGCGGTTCCTGGTCACCGTAAACCAACAGGAAAACTAATGAAGCAGAACATCCAGATGTTCATGAGGTCCTACAGACTACAGTCACTGAAATTTCTGTACCGTTTCGATTAATTTATGCTTTGAAATAAAATACACATTGAATAGGCTGAGCAGTTAATCTTTATTTTTATTTACATGAAGGATTCCTAAATGACTGCAGAGAAAAAAAAACCTTAAAACTGATCTTAGAGGAGCAGAAAGTCTTTAATCTGTTGTATTATTGCAATTAATTATTGCTGTTGTTTTATAGTCAGCTTTTGGTTAATAAACTAACTTTAAAATGTGGAAGTTGGACATTCTTTAAAATGGTATCATTGCTGCCACCCTCTGGTTTAGAGGAGAACTGCAGGTGGTGAATTACATCCACATGAGAACTAATCTGACCTCCTGGACGCTTCAAGCATAAACCAACTTTAAAGGAAAAGTTCGCTCAGATTCAGAATTCTAACTTCTAAAAGTTCTTTAAATATGAATTTATTACATCCTGTTCAAGTGTTGTTTTTTTTATTCAGAGTAATTTTCATGTGAATGTGCTTTACTGGAGGCATCCATGTTTGCCAAAGAACACTACTGCCACCTACTGGTTAGTGACGTCACGGTGCGGTATCGGCTGTTGATCAAGTCCCAGTGCTGTATCTGGTGTTTGTCACAACGCGCTATTATCCAAGTCATCTTGAAAACATTCTTCTTCCAAATGTTGGCTACATATTACGGGTTTTTTCTCTGGCCAGAAGTTCGATGGCAAATCCTCCCTCTTCAAGTTGGCGATCCAACGACCAACCCGTCCGTGGAGGATCAGGAATCAGAAAGGTGGAATAACTCTTTTTTTCACTTTTACCCGATGTATTCCAGCATCCAGCTGCCATGCACGTGGGCATTGTCAGTTTCACTATAGCTCTGGTGAATTTCAATGGTGAAGTCCTCTGGAAATCTTCAATAATTGTTGTTGATTGCAGATGTGTCTAGTAGTTCCCATTGATTTAGCTTGTAAAGCGGGGAGAATGGCGCTAGGCTTACCGCACCGTGACGTCACTGCTGGAAGATGGCAGGAGGGAGGGGCTACTATATTTGGGCAAAAATGGCCGGTTGTTTTTATTTTTTTTACTGATTAACGCTAAATCCATTAAATCACTGCAAACTAGTAGATTTAGGTATAAATAATAATCCATTGATTATTGACTGACCGGACTTTTCCTTTAAAGGTTTTATTTCAGGTGCTTTCTCATGGCTGGTTCTGGTTCTGCAGAGTAGATCAGATCCAGTAGATCTGAGAGGTCTGGCTGTCGATCCACTGCCAACCAGTCTGTAATGTATTTTAGAATGAAGCCATTCAGTGATTTCTAGACTAACAATTTGGGCAAAAATGGCCGCTCCCAGACTGATTAAAAAAAAAAAAAATGTTTTATTGCGATCACTGATTAACACTAAATTTATTAAATTACTGCGAACTTATTAATTTTAGGTATAAATAACGATCTATTGATTATTTCTTGCTGACTTTTCCTTTAAGGAAAGAAAACTTTAATGACAAAACATCATCAGATGAAATGTTAAAAAAGAAAAAAACTCAGTGCTTCAAGCCAGAACCGTATTTATGTCGCAGTTTTTCTCTTCAACACATTTTCAGCAGCTTTTTTCTGAGCTTGAAGAACAAAAAGAAAAAGAAATATTTCCTTTAGTTTCTACGTTAAAGAATAAAGTGCCTTTCAGTTCCTGCTGAGGTAACGATCCATTATTGAAGGTCTTAGTAGAAACACCAGCTGATTAAACGATTACGTGATGATCTGAAATGTTTGGGCGGTAAACCACAACCGTCGGTTGATTGTGCGTTTTTTCAATCTGTTGGAATGTAAAGCGGCGTCAAAAACATGGCGCCCTCGCTCTCCGTCCGTCACTCGAACTGCTTGAAGCAGGCGTCTTTGTAGGAAGTGGCGTTAAGGATACTGAACATGTCCTTCCTGATGAAGGTGAGGAAGTTTCTCAGCGGGCAGAGCGGCTGGCTGATGTGGCGGGATGCGGGATGACAGAAAGCCGTGTGAAAGGTCACATCCTCGCCATTGTACAGAACTCGGATGAACACCTCGCCATCTTTCAAATTCGCCCTCTCTCCTTTCCCTCGTTTCTTTACCGGGCCCTTCGTGGTAGGCGGACTTTTCCACATTTCAAAGACGATTCTGGCAGCGAATCGAGGAAACTTGGCCTCCTCCAGTCCTAGGGCGCTGAGCAGCGGGGCCATGGTGACATCATGACCCGAGGAGAGGGTGAAGACCTCCTCCCCGCCTGCAGCAGGCCGCTGGCCGGCCTTGCTGGCCTTGGCGACTCGCTCCATTTTGTTGGCAGTCCTGTTGAGGTACGGGTACATGGCCAGGATGGCGTATTTACGGTAAATGCCGACTCTTCTCCTGTCTACTTCGTTGTCCAGCTGCTGCTGGCGGATCACAGCGAACTGCGCCACGGTCAGGCATCCGCCAGAGCCGCCGGCTCCGCTGGGAACACACGGGAAGGAAAGGCCGTGGCACAGGTGGCAGAGCAGCGAGTCCATCGGGTTTGCCGCTCTGAGCTGCCGGGTCGGAACGCCTAGAGTCCGCGCCATGTCCACGTAGGTCTTCTCCAGGTTGGCGTCGGCCACTCTGAGGCGATACTGCCTCCTCTGCTCCTCCTCCAGGTATCGGTTCCTGGCAGGGCACCCGCACGCCGCGCCGCAGAACAACGTGCTCCACTGGTGACGCACGGTCAACTTGGTCCAGTTGAAATCTGGGAGGAAGCCGTAGAGGAAGGCCATCCCGCTCTGGAGGGTTCGGCTCTTCCCCGTCGTCTCCATCCAAACCTGGCGAGGCGACCAATCAGAGGGCAGCAGGCCGTGATGCTTGTAGGCGTGATGGAGGATCTGCCCGTTGATCAGCTGCTGCACCACGCCTGAAGGAAAGACGAAAGCTTGATTTAAGGTTTTCCCGTTTCAGGAGAAAATAAATCTGCAGCGAAACCAAAGAAATTCATTGATTCGCAGCAAAGAAGAAACTAAAACATTCAGCCGAGATAAAAAAAGTGTTTTCTGCACCTGTCTGGGTGAGTTCTCCCATTTCACAGGCACTGTGGTTGGGGAGGCGTGAAATGGATCCCAGTGGCGACTCCCAGTGGCCCCGGGTCCCCTGGCTCATGTGGTTAACGAAGCGGTTCAGCAGAGGGTGGGGGGGCTCCCTGAGAAAATAATGATCCAACTCGATTATTACGTCATTAATCATTATCAATAACATCAGAGCTTTTGTTTGACTGAATATCCAAGTTCTGCTTTGCGTTTCGCAGCAGGAGAGTTGTGGTGAAATCATTAGTGCCTGTGCGCCGACACTGAGCTATCCAGGTTACTAATAATTATACTCTGGTTGTCAGGTTACATCATTGGTGCAATAAAGCTTTATGAGGCGAGAAACTGAATCTAAACTACTGTTGGAGCTCAATTCAAACGCCCCCGCTTGAGTGATAAAAATGTTGCTTCCAACAACCATTAATCAGTCTTTGAGGAAAGCCCGCCCCTAGAAATCAAAAAATTGTGATGAAAAATGCAACATTAAAAAAATATAAAACCGAAATAAATAATAATTTGAATAAATATAAGTTTCTAAACCTTCTACTTCTTTATTATTTATTTTACTTTCCAAAACCTTTTCTTTGTTCTATGGCGTCTTCAAAGAGGGATGAAAAAAAAAAAAAGGAATTTAAATTTTTGAGCTTTTTTCCAAGAATAAATGCTCATTTACGAGATTATAAACACGCAAATTTGGAAGGAAACAAGTAGCAAATCTACGAAAATAAATAGGCTGATTTACAAGAAAAAAAAACATACAGACGTATAAAATTATCAAGATGCAAAATTAGAAGCAAGAAGTAGAAAATTTATGAGTTAAAAAAATACATATTTACGAGAAAAAACATGCACATTTACAGGATTATAAGCATGTCAATTTAAAAGAAAACTGTAGCAAATTTATGAGATAAATATGCTTTTTTTGTATTATTGTACCGCCTCATTCTATCACTAAAGCCCTCCAATTAATGATGCATTTATGTAGCATACTTTGCTACATAAGCTTTACTTTTAAAATCTTGCAAATTTGCAACCTTTTTCTCCAACATTTACGTTTTGTTTTTTCTTTTGTTTATCAATTAGCTACTTTTTCTCTTTTATTTTTATGTTTTAATTTCGGAAATTTGGGTGTTTTTACTTGTGAATTTATTTATATTTATATAAAAATGCCACTTTCAACTGAAAATTTGAATGGCCCTAAGATGTCATATATTTGCTCTAAACAATAATGGAATAAAAGTAACTCCATACTAAAGCTCATTTATTGCTCTATTTCTGGGTCCAGTAGGTGGAAATGTACGTGCGCTTCCTCTGTCCACCAGCAGGGGTCCCTCCGACACAAGAATGTAAATTGTGACAAAACAGTTTGATGTGAGAGAAAACTAAGGATTGAGAAAGAAAAAGATGAATTATTCTGTTTATAGGAAATGGTAATAAACCAACAAACAGACAAATCTTTGCACAAACCATCATCCAGATACAAGGAAGGCAGGAAGAGCAGTCGATAATCCAGGAGATTAAAAAGAATCAGAGATTATAGTTTAAAAAACAAAATAAAATGGGGGAGCTGCAGCTCAGATAGATTAAGGGTGGTTTCCATAGCGATCATGGAGAGAGTCAGGAACAAGCCGTAAAAATAGATCAACTAAAACCTTTTTATGAAGCACAGTAAAGCTTCGTCTGGCGTCTCCAAACTCCTGCTGCATCTAAACGGACATTCAGAGGCTTTTTCTGCCACCAGGTCACAGCAGCCATCAGGTTTCCATCATCACCTGCTTATTCTGCTGCATTATAGTAATAATAATCCTTAGTGCTAGCCGATCGGACTGGTCTGAGGAGAACCAAACCATTGAGATTTAATTGGCTGCACTGGGAGGCTGGATGTCACAGGATGGAGACACCATGCTGGACAGAAAGCCTCTATTAGCTTCATTGCTGGCAGCTAAAGATTAGAGCCCAGCTGCATTAAGCAGGGATTATTATGACTGGATAGGATGGGGATAGATTAGAGAAGAGGAAGGAAGGGAGGAAGGGACAGAATAGAGTATGTCAAGTCAAATAAGAGAGAAAACTGTAAAAAACAACAACAAAAAAACAATAAAGAATAAATAGAATAGAGCGTGTGATGAACTAAGAGAAAAAAACACTGTTGGGAGAGAGGAGGAGGAAAGAGAGCTCAGTTAACCGCAGACGGAGACAGTGGGTCGGCAGCCTGGTGCCAGAGCGCTCCAACACACACACTCACACACACACACGGAAACTTGTCTCACTATCTCTGCGGGGCCTTTCCATTGACTTCCATTCATTTCTACGGCCTAACTGTGACGGGGTCATCCCAAACCCCGACTCGCACCTTTAATTCTGAATGTGACCCCTGACCCTAAAACCTCCCTGTGCTCCAGGCATCGGTCCCCACAACGTGTCATTTTCCCAGAAAACGGGCTCCATAATGTAGCAAAACCCAAAGCAGACCCGTCCGTTCCCCCTGAGAGCCGCGGTGGGACCTGTAATCACAGTTTGGTCAAACAGAGGGACCGAAAACAAACTCTTCTCTGCATCAGGTTGAGTCAGCAGCAGCGGTTTCAGCTCCACCCGCCTCCACCTCCACATCTGTGCTCGTGGTGAAGCTGGGGGGTAGAAGCTGACAGAAGAATGTTTGGAGGGGGCCGGACCGCTACTGTTTTCTCACCACTAGAGAACTTATAAAATCTAATTCCTACAGCATCTGGCGAGTTAAATTCAAGACTTTGAGACTTTTTAATGCCACTTTAAAACAAAAAGTTAAGGCAAATTCCACAATGAACACGAGAAAAACTGGTTGCAACATTACCAAAATGTTGATTTGAACATAAATCATTGCTTTCTGATTTCAAACTCTCAGGGAGCTGTTCAATGTTTTCACTCCATTTTGCACAAAGGCTTTTTGATGTATTGATGATAGCAAAGTTAAATATTGTTACAAATAATAAAAAAAAAGAAATATGTTTAAAATAACACAGACAACAAAGAATCCTCTTCTAATGTACAGTATAGAACTATGAAAAAAGTACAGTTACACAAAAGTGTTCCACTGTAAGGATGGTGTAGTTTGTTTTGTTGCAACCTGAAGTGTGAAATAAACTTCAGTGGAGTTTGAAAACAAAATATGTGTATAGATTTATTATATCTGGTTGAACGATGTGTGTGCCCAATTTTTTATTTTTTATTTTTTTGCGGGGGGGGGGGGGGGGGGGGGGGGGGGGGGGGGGGCGTGGAAATTTTATTGTAATCCAAAGGGGGGCCCAGAAGAAAATCTTTGGGAACCACTGCCATAGAGGGAGAAATGTAAACAAACAAAAAATGCATTGATTTTTAACAACTACTTCACTGAATTCACCAGTTTTATTTTGTTTCCTACTCAAACTCAAACAGAGCTCTGCTTTCATTGTAGGCGAACCGCCAAACATTATCCAGAGGTTTGGTGCTACTGGAGTGGCCCTTGATATGGAAGATGCTGTGGAGGCGTTGCAGAGACAAGGAGGAGGAACAGAACAGGCAGACACCCTGTCTACTTTTAAGGCTAGGCTTAAAACTTTCCTTTTTGATAAAGTTTCTAGTTAGAGTGGCTCAGGTTATCCTGAGCTATCTCTATAGTTCTGCTGCTATAGGCTTAGACTGCTGGAGGACATAGGGACCCTTTTTATCATTCTATCTCTATTCTCCCACTCTGCAGAATCTGTTAGTTCAATCTCTAACGTTCTGCTCTCTCTGCTGAGTGGGCCTCAGCAGATGGCCGCTCACACTGAGCCTGGTTCTGCTGGAGGTTTCTTCCTGTTCAAAGGGAGTTTTTCCTCTCCACTGTCGCTACAAGCATGCTTAGTGTGAGGGATTGCTGAAGAGTCAATGAGTCGATGCAATCAGCTGGTTTACCTTAGAAAACGTATGAATTTGACTGGATGATCTGGTGAACTGTAGGCCCAGGCTCAGTGTGAGCGGCCATCTGCTGAGGCCCACTGGGGTTCAAGGAGACAGAAGCAGACATAGAAAAAGAAGCATAGATACAAAAGGCAACTGTCAACCAGCTCCACAGGCGGCCCCGTCCAGGAAACACACAGCCAGGCAGACGAGCTCCAAGCCAGCTCCCATGTCAGAGGATGAAGAGAGCACATCCAGTTAGTCACAGTCAGAGAAACAGGACTACACTGGAAAACAGGCCAAGCTCCAACATCTAGAAACAAAGGTGTTGATGGCAGCAGCACAGCTGATATTTCTCTCCAGGATGGAGTCACAGCCAAACAGGAACAGACCAGATGAAGCTACTATGAGAAAAAGCAGAGAGAGCAGAACGTTAGAGATTGAACTAACAGATTCTGCAGAGTGGGAGAATAGAGATAGAATGAAGCAGAATGATGAAAAAGGGGTCCCTATGTCCTCCAGCAGTCTAAGCCTATAGCAGCAGAACTATAGAGATGTCAGGGAGCAGAAAATGCGGTTAAAGCTCGTAATCAGCTCAGCATGTGACAGAAACAGTCGTTGAATGAGGTGAATTATTTAGTAAAATTGATATTTTTAATGAATCAATCCAATGTAATGAATCAGATCTTTAGTTTTTCTAGTGGTGCTCACTGCAGAGCGCTTTAAACTCGGAGGCTTTTCAATGCTTTAATCCTTAACTGAAGAATCCATAGCTTTAGCTTGAAAGGCTTTAGCTTATTTTAAACTATTAGAGGCTGCAGGCGCCTCGTGATGCCATTTAAAAGCTAATGAGGCATTTTAGTTCAAGAATGTCTTTGTATAACAGCAGGAAGTGAGGTCAGCTAACTCGCTCGTTTTTCACTTTCTCTGGCTGGAACTGGTTCCTTCAGACATCCAGACTCCTGCGCTAATAAACAGATGGAGATAAAAACCTCTTCAGTGCCCATCTGATTTCAGCCATGTTCTCTGCTGCAGATCTGATGAGGCTTAATGAAAGATCGATGCCTTTTATGAGGCTTTAGGACAAACAGCTCAGGGTTTGCAGGTTTATTCTATTTTTCCCAGTTCAGTTGTTTCATGACAGTCTTTGTTTCATATAGTGAATAAATCCAGGTTGTAAAGCAGCAGCCAGAAGCTCCACAGATTAAAGTCCTCATGATTTATCCAGATGTGCTGCACTGAGAGCTTTATGCAAAGTTAAATCCTTGGCTAAATCTGGGCTGAGGTGCTTCAGTGAAAAGAGGATTTTCCCCCCAAACCATCTGATGATCATATGATTTTTATTTCAGATTATAAACATGGCCGCTCTCATGCAGGAAATGTTTAACAATCAATCAAATAGAAAGTGAAGCCAACGTTTAATAACTGCTTATCATGAAGTCTCATCTGACCCTGAACAAGCAGAGCTGCAGATAGAAACGAGTGGAAGAAGATAACGGCGGCGTCTTGGAGCACTCCTGATGTAACGCCGCCTCTCGCCGTCTGAGGCGGAGAGTCGCTCTGTTAGTCAGCATCATCCTCGGTTCCACAGCATCAATATGGCGAACCGTACCGACACGTTACTGCAGGAGGAGGCAATGAAGCTCGCTGCCAACAAGAGCTGTGAGCAGAAATATAGGTTATGTACGGAGTGAAGTTTGCTCCATTATTTTTGCAAGCAAATAACACATTTTGTAGATGGAAATTTGAAGAAAAGAATGCTATACGAAATGGAAATTTGGAAAAATGTCTTAATCAAATACAGTTTGAGAATAATTTTAAAGTTTCCCCAGATTTATTATTTTTGTTCTTTTTTTTCTTCAATTTTCTTTTTTCCACACTATTGCTTTTTTTCAGATTTTATTCACTATATTTTTTCTTTTTACTTTTCTGAGTTTTAAAAATAGCATTATTTTGAAAGGTATTGTATAGTTTTTTTCCATTTAAAGTCAATACCAAAGCTCACTCTTGACTAATAAAAACTTTGCTAACATCCAACGGGCCAATAGAAATGAGTCTTCGCTTCACCCTCCAGAGGAAAGCCCGCCCACAGAAGTGAAGTGAATTTGATCTGGAAAACGCATTTTGAAAATAATGAAATGTATATAACCTACCGTATTTTCACGACTATAAGGCGCACTTAAACGTCTTTTTTTTTCCTCAAAATGTGCGGTGCGCCCTTTGGTGCGGTGCGCCTTATGTGTGTTGTAACTGCGACTTTTGAGACCACCTCATTGAGGAGATGATGAAAGAGTGGCTGAATGTAAGGAGACCAGGTGTTTTTTTTTCCACTCATCACCATCGCTGTTAATATGTAACTCCATGCGTGCCCATCTCACAGCTGATGTGAAAAACATGGGGAAACAAATTAACGCTGTGCTCGCTGTTCAACCGCTCGACATCGGTGTGAACCGGACCCAGCAGGTGCAGCAGACGCAGCGAGTTTACATGCAAAGTCAATGGTTGACGCGCGTATAGGTGCAGCAAAAGGTCCCGAGCGCGTTTTGAGCTGCAGGTGCAGCGCGTCGGGAGCGTTTAAGCATCTGACGCACCGCCAACGCGCTGCTGCTGCTCGAGATGGAAAAATTGAAGTTTTGCTGCTGGACGCGCCGCATCAACCAATCAGAGAAGCTGATCTGGGAGCTGACAGCGAGACAGACACAGCGCTCTGATGACATGATATTAACGCAAATGAAACGGGCTGGGGAGATGATGAAAGGCAGGTGTATGTGAGGAGACCAGGTGCTTTTTTTCCACGCATCACCATCGCTGCGTGCCCATCTCACAGCCGATGTGAAAAAAAAAGGTGAATCAAATGAACGCTGTGCTCGCCGTTATCCCGGGGGGTCTGACAAAGGAGCTTCAACCGCTCGACATCGGTGTGAAGCAGCCGTTCAAAGTAAGGCTGCGAGCGGCGTGGGAGCGATGGATGACAGACGGAGACCACAGTTTCACGATAAGTGGAAGGCAGCGCCGGGCAGATTACGCCACAGTTTGCGGATGGATTGTAGATGCTTGGACTAACGTGTCTGCTGGCTCTGTTGTTCGAGCTTTCGCAAAAGCCGGCATTATTTCTGAGGAGCTGCGCTGCACGGAAAGTGACTCTGACAGCGAAGAAGAAGGGGAAACTGGCATGTCTGATTTAGCACAGCTGTTTAATTCAGAAACAGAGGATGATGACTTTGATGGGTTTGATTAATACTTTGTAATAAATACATGAATAAAGCACAATCATACTCAGTTTTGCTCCCGCTCTATTTTTCTACCTGAAAACTTAATTCAACAGCAGCCTCTGGGCGGGTCTCCTCCTCTTCACCGCGGTGGCTGGCAGGTGTTTTTTCATCTAAATAATCTAAATCTTGCAGCTATATTTGCTGTGATCAGTGGGAATAAAGTAGTTTTAATATGTTTTTGAGTGAGAAAGGCCACCTGAAAACTTAATAATTGCAGTCAGTTCATCCAGATTATCTATTTCTGTCGGAGGCGCTCAGACCCCCACATACCAGCGGTGCACCGACAGCAGAAATCCCTTCAACAGCAGCCTCACCGCGGCTGCTGGCAGGTGTTTTTCATCTAAATAATTTAAACTGCAGGCACCAGGATACCGGCAATAAAAGCGAACATATTCCGTCGGCAGGTTTCAGGATTTTAAGTTAATTTAGGAGTAATCACAGCGCTGTGTCATCTGCGATGTGTCTGTCTCACGGCCAGCTCGCAGGTTTGATTAATACTTTGTAATAAATACATGAATAAAGCACAGTCATACTCAGTTTTGGGCCCGCTGTATTTTTAAATACGCAGTAGAGCTATTTAAAGGTAGTAGAGGACATGTACCTGTATATAAAAAACGCGCCCTATAGTCCGGTGCGCCTTATGTGTGTGTTAAATACAGAAATGGGACACATAACTGAGACTGCGCCTTTTAGTACGGTGCACCTTATGGTCGTGAAAATACGGTAATCTAAGAAAAAAAACTTGAAAAAAAAATGAAAAAAAAATTTAAATAATACATCTTCAATTGAAAAGAAAACGACAGAAAACAGTGCAGTTACTCTTAAAAACTTTTTTGATTAAGAATTTTTCAAAGTTTTACTTCTGAAATGCATTTTTTTTACTTCCATTTACAAAACAACTTCTTTGCAAGAATAATGGAACAAAATTCACTCCGTATTCATGAAGCTACATCGACATCCTGATATTTGTGTCTCAATCTCTGCTACTTTCGCCTACAAAAACAAGATGGAAATATTATGCATTTGATGGCATAAAATGGCTGTTCTAAGGCTGAAAAAAAAGTCTAGTAATAAGAGTCCAGTGATAAGATCCCTTAAAGAAGTATTTACTCACCTTTAACATTCTATACTTTGTCAGATTAATCATTAAAAGGGGCTTCATCTCATCCCTCGACCTTTAAAATGCAAAGAGCTTAATCTGGTTGCAGTTAAAGGTTTCCCCAAAGAATGTGAGTTTCTCTTTAAAATGACCGAGTCAAAGTACAGATCCCCACCAAACCAGATTAAAGTCGTAGGGAAGCGGCCGTTCCGACCGTTGCATTTCTGAATTCCCCCGAGTGGTGCCCGACTTTACCCGAGTGAATAAAGTCAATGTGACTGGTCGATTATCAGGGGGGCGGCATTGTTGTGGCGGAAGGTTCACAAGCACGTTTGGTTGTGGCTGGTTTGTAGGAAGCATCTTGCTAACCAGTTAGCATCTTAGTGCTAGCAGGTTCCCAATGGGAAATTCCATTGGGACCAAGTAGCACTAAATTGGTGACTTAGAAACGACGCTGTCAAGGAACGCTATGGACAGAGGAAACATGCAAGAGGAGGAGAGTTTAGTGTCGGAGGTCGTGGATGAGTCTCCTCCGTCATCCATTTTTTATTTAGAGGAGGAAAGCGGGGACGAAGATGTTGTGGAAGAGGACGCCAGGGCGGCAGAAGCTTGGTTTGGTGTAGAAGGCTTCCAGCCGTACATGTTTGAGCCCTTGCCTCGCAACGCTGCCAGTTCTGTTAGCTCTACGCCTGCCGAAGACACAGACGTCCATCCCCGTGAACACTGGGACGCAACTCAATGGGAAAGGAAAGGATTCTGATTTCAACCGTTGCGTATATTAGCTGCGACATATGAAACAAGATGCTATGACCGAAAAATTTGATTGACAGATGACCGTTGATATATGATTGGCTGAATTTACTAACTGGCCTGCAGAAGATATTGAAAAAAAAAAAACATTTTAAGACAGGATTTTTTTTAATTGAAATTTTCTAAATTTTGGCACAATATTGTCTGATAAAAAGTACATTTATATACATGTTTAAGCCAGAATGATTTGACATTTAAATATGTTTTCCCTACGACTTTAACCTTTGCAGAAAGGAATCTGATCTAGATCTGAATATCTGCTAGAAGCAACAATTTTCTTCCTTTTCATATTTATAAACGTTATTTTGTGATTAAAATGTGACCATATGGGAAAGAGTTGCTCCACTGTGTGATTACTCTGAAAGACGAACACCTTAAGGTTTTTTTTTCTGTGTGATTGTTTACCTGCTGGCTGACAGGGTGCAGTCGATGCTGGGCCGTTTGGTCTTTGGGATGGAGTACAGAGGGTAGCGGTCTCCATGACGAATCATCACGTGAACAGACAGCAGCTTGTAGTCTGCAGGACTGTGACCTGTCAGGAGACAACCAGTCAGCTCGTATCCGTGGCAACGTGGGTCGGTTTTATTGCTACGTTTACGCTTCAGTTAGAAACAAACTCTGCAACTGCCCTCGTCTTTAATCCATGGAAGGATCTTTTAAATCCATTTAGGGTTTTATTTTATTAAATAGTCTGGAACAAATGACTTGCTTCTAATTTTCCTTGGTTCATGCATTGACTGTAGGAGGGATTGCTGCACAGCCAAGGACATTGCTGGTGACCTGGATGGAAAACTGGACCAATCTGCATATAATTTGACTGATTTAAAGTGCCTTAAGGTGAAAAAAGGTCTCAGAGCTAAAGTACAGTTTGGTTTAACAATGAATCCTAATGGCGCAGAAATAACAGAAACTTTTATTCTTTGTTTCCAAAACATCTGAACATTTCAGAGGGAAAAAAAGTGATCATAAATCTGGAAAAAGGATCCCAGCGTTCTCACGCACCTCGCTCTTCTAGCGGGTCAAACTTCACGAGTTGTTTTCCGCAATTTCGGTCATAAAAACAAAACAAGCCGGCCTCCTGTCTGCGGTCAGCTACAATGTGGGAGTAGAGGGGGCGGGACGTCTGGAGCCGAGGTATTGCATTGCACTCATTGCACTGATTATGTGAAGTATTTTTTGATACAACTTTTCTACTTCTGTTATTTGCTGCTGTTTCTAAAAAAAAAAAAGCATAACGATATTACAGCTTTCATTGATTTATTTCAAACTTGAAACTTTGTTTAGCCTGTAAGGTGTAAAAAAAAAAAAAAAAATTTAACCGATTAATCGTATCGTATCGTATCATGGTGTATTCTTGAGTATCGAAAATAATCGAATCGTTGGTCAGGAAATGGATGAATCACCATGATGGATGCGATTTACACCCCTAGCTCAGACCGCACGCAGCAGGAGCAGTAAAAACACGCGTGCTGCTTCATTTTTGAAAAAGTTTTTGTTTGTTATTTTGTGAAAGACTAAAGGGATACACGGCCGTCGAGGCAGTTTAAAGTCTATTTTTCGTACAAAGCTAAAGGTTTAAACGCAAATCTGATGTCTTGCGTATTGACTATAGGTATGCTGATCTGATCCAGTTCTGGATTAAAAAAGGAAACCGTGCTTCAGAGCAGATAGAACCACATTCTAACTGAGTTTTTTCTATATTACCTTCCCATGCTTGTTCGGTGCGGTTGGGGGTGTTACAGTAGCTATAAGCCTCCAGGACGGGATCGGGCTCCATCGTGGGACGCACAGGAAACACTCGCTTTCTGCTTTTGACCTGGAGCGCTCTGACAGCTCCGTCTGCAGCCTGGACGGGTCGCTCATCCTGCATGGGGGTGGTGGGAATCAGGTTCACTGAGAGGAGGAGGAGGAGCAGGGAGAAAAACCTCTAATTATTAACAGGAAACTTTCAGTTCGGTTAAAAAGACTTTATTTAAAAATAAATATTTTGGATATAAAACAAAAAATACAGTAAGTGGTTCGGTTTTCATAAATTCAGTTAATTATTGTTGCATAGTTGCTGCAATTTTGTTTACACAGCAATGCATCAGCGGCGGCTGGTCAATAGGGGGTGCTAGGACGCCGCACCCCCTATTGACGTATTTCCGCCCTAGGGCGCAAAAATCTTCTCCCATTGACTCACTAAAAGTTGTACATGTGCAGCAGCTCCTCTGCAATAAAAACTTACAGGATGGTCCAAGGCGCAGAGAGAAATGGCGCCAGAAACGTCCTTTTCCAGGACCTGGTTTAGCTCCAAGGCTAGGCTAACTGCATGCAGCGAGGCTAAGGCTTTATTCTGCTTTCCCTTCCCCCTTTTTCAATCATCAGGATCTGATCCAGCATGGATAAAGACAGCTAGGACTGATTTAAAGCACTGTTTAGAAAAGGCAAAAAAGAATGAACAATCTGGGATTCACATGGAAAATAATGGAATCTGGTTTACTTTTTCTACATGTTTGTTAATTTGCATATTTGCTCTTAAATACACACCTTCTCAGAAAATAGTTTTTATACATTTAAAAAACATAAAGCTGACTAAAAGCTTCTCCATTATTAAACTAATAAAAAAAAAATGTTAGGTTTGTGACCCAATATTGGACCAACACACAGATTTACTTTCACATCCTCAGACGGGAAAGATTTATGGACAAAAAGTAAACCTGGACATGAAATTATGTTTTGTTTTAATAAAGTGTTTTTTATAATGTTTTTTGTTGTTGGCGTTAATATAATTATACTGGTTTACTTCGGAAGAAGCTGGTGTTTGTTTGGCCGCTGCTAGGAGATGCTAACCCAGATGGTGAGCTATGCTACAAAGAGCTTCAGTTTCTAACTGAGGCTGTTAGCGGTTAGCATCGGGATATAAACATTTTATCCAACATTTTAGAAAAACTACTTTCAATGACTGAATGATGCTTCACTGTCAGTTTAAAGAAAATCTTTGATTTCATTTTAATTTCCCTTTAGCTTCTGCTAATGTTGTTAGCTCCAGCTTATAGAGTAAACAGCAGATCACAAATAGGTCATATTTGTTTGTTTCCACAGATATCTCCAGTATAACGACTCATTAAAACTAGGAGGCAGTGACGCATCGTCTAAATTTAAACCAAACAATAGGATAAAAACTACTCTGCTAATGTTAGCCTTCCTGTTTTACTCTGTAGTTCCAGTCAGACCTAAACGCATCTGTGGAAAACAATGGCGCCCTCTATGGGTGGAAAATAAAACAAAGGATATAACATTTTTACATTTTGAGTTTCTCTATATCACTAACAACTATTTTAAATTCATAATAGAATTACAACATATTGGGCCAACATGGTCCAACTAGTCAGGAATCCCTAAAAGAAAAAGGATCAAATAAATGGACAAAGCAACAAACAAAAAACGACTTAACAACAGTTCCAGCATGTTCCGTGTCCATGGCAACCACTGATGCCCTCACTGTTACCATGGAGCTGCTGTGGGAACTTTAAACAGAAAATTGTCAGGATCCAAGAAAAAGAAGCAGAAAGAAAAGACTGGGTGTCTGTGGGAGAGCTGGACGTCCAAATCCTGTTTACATAATCCCACTGTGTCTCTCTGTCGTCATTAGGAAGCACGTTTCTAAGACACCAAAGGTCACTTTACAAACTGAGACAAAACCAAAACATTAAAGCAGAGGACACATCGTCAATAACAGTTACAGGACAGGACAATAACAGGAGAGAGTTTAAATATTATGGATGTCTGATCAGAGGAAGGAAGCTCTGATCTAGGGCTGAAAAAATGTATCGATCATTGAAATAATCGTCACTATTTTATATTTCATTAAGTGGAGTATAGAGACCCTAAAACATGCCTTTAGCTGACAGAGCGACTAACTTAGACAAGGAATTATACCAGGATTGTAAAAAAATATATAAATATTGCACATTTAAGAGTAAACCGGCTGTTGATCAAGTCCCAGTGCTGTATCCGCTGTTTGTCACAACGCGCTATTATCCAAGTCATCTTGAAAACATTCTTCTTCCAAATGTTGGCTACATATTACGGGTTTTTTCTCTGGTCAGAAGTTCGATGGCAAATCCTCCCTCTTCAAGTTGGCGATCCAACGACCAACCCGTCCGTGGAGGATCAGGAATCAGAAAGGTGGAATAACTCTTTAAATGTTCACAGCTCAGCATGTTTGCTCTCACACTGTGCGAATCGACGCTCTGATGCGATCTACCTGCTCACACCGTACGTCTAAAAAGCAGGTGGGACTCAGCTCCGCAGTGAGATGGCGCTACTCGGACTCGTCTATCCGCAAGCCAGACGAGTAGAAGAGGAATCTCAAGCTCACTAGAGTGAAACGTGTTGCCGTGGCGACGACGTATTGCTGACCAAACTGGACTTTTAAAGCTTGACCATGACCTGGATGAATGACAATCTTCAGAGATGTTTAACTATGGAGTGAATTTTATTCCATTATTGTTGCAAGTGAAGAATGTCGTGTTTGAACTGAAAAAAAAGAGTAACTTTACTTTATTCCTGGATTTTTTTTCCCCAAAATCATTGTTTATATGTATTTTTGCATATGTTTTTTTTCAATAAGAAAATCCTTTTACAGATTTTCCATTTGTTTTTTTCCAGATGGAGTTTTACAAATTGCGCCTTTTTCAAATTGCATTTAGCATATGACATTCTCTTCACTTTAAGCACAATACAAACAGTCGCTGTCGACCGTAAAATGCTGCTGCTAGAAATAAATCTGCGCTCCTCGTTCTACAGGAGCAAAGCTCAGAATGTGATCTGGAAAATAAAATTTGAGAAGAATGCAGTTCATAAAACTTA